TTCTCTCCGCAGCCTCCTTTCCTCTCTTGGACCTATCTCTAGGAAGGTCAAAGGTCGACTGAGAGAAGCTTTACGAGTAACCCTAAGATCCTACACTAACTCCTCCTCCTCACTACTAGCAGCTTCACTCATGAGCTACAGTGGAGTGTGATCTCAACTAGAATCCACACTGAATCCTACCTTAGCCTGACACCCAACCGAGTAAGAATAATCAATGTGTCTCGGTCATCCTGGAGAAAATAGTCAAGCAGTAACCAATAACAAGTGTCAGATCCTACAGGCAACACTATTTCTATTTTTAGATTACTCTAGAACAGTTTACATGCAGCATAAGATAAGATTAACTATCTGCAGCTGTCTGTTAGTTGTCAGCCAAGTCTGTAACAACTAAATAATCAAAAATAAAAATAATCTACCTGCTGAGATGCATGTTGGATGGCAGTTTGTCTAATTAGTGCCACAACGAACAGTTACCGGAATCCCCCCTCTCCCTGCATCCTTCTTAAGTTGTCACTTTGTGTCAACGCCCTGAGCATCTGGTTGAGCGGCGTGTCTGAAGGTGTGCAATCCGGCCCACCCCTGTGCCCCAAGTCTATGCTGAACCTGCCAGCCTCTGCACTTTGTTTACCCTCGCATGCAATGATCCTTACACCCGGTTTGATCTGGCTGATCAAGAGGCAGTTTAAGGACAGCCCCCAAGGTCCTCAGGAATTATTTGACGTCGCAGACAGGATGCCCCCGCCAGAAACATTTATAGACGTCTGGTGAGCGTCTGCTCAAAGGGCTGGCATGCCTTGTATGACCTCTATTATGCAGCAGCAGAACCAAGGACTTGCGGCAAAGCATGCGTGTACTAGTCCCAGCGGGTTGGCATGGCAACCGTGACCCGAGTGCTTCGTCCAGGGCCCTTCAGAGGCTTCGCCCGTCTCCCACCAGCTTGCTGCACAGGAAGAATGTCGACTCTCAAGGTTGAGCGCTAGCGACACCTCACATTGAGAGGACTCTCAAGACAGAACTGGCTTCCTCACGGTAAGAAGTAATGAAGAGGGTAGATAAGGAAGAGAGCAACGTACCTCATAATGCTGCCCCCAACCACAGATTTCTCACCGGCAACCTGATGTGCATTTATGATGACCGGCAGTGTTGCACACCCCGACCGTCAGCGACCCTTGACTGATCGGCTGCTGACCCGTCGACCGGTCGGGTGGTCGGCACCTACTGGTCGGCGGTCGTCAGCACCCCGCAAAAAAAAAAA